TTATATATATATATATATATATTATATATTTATATAGTTACAACCGGCCCTTTGAGTGCAACCATAATGCTAATGTGGTCCACGATGAAATTGAGTTTGACATTAAGTCAACAGATTTCAGATAACTGTATCATGTTAGTTGAAAGCAATAATATTAGTTGAAACCTTATATATTTATTTAAACTAAATATTATTGCTTTGAACCAACTTAATGCAGTTATGTGAAATCTGTTGACATGATATATTTAATTAAAGTCAACAATTTCAGTTTTTTCTGTGTAATGGTAAAAAATATATGTTTACAAAGACAATTATTTTGAGTTATATATGACCTTTACAAGTTAAAGGATCCAAGAAAAAGAATAAAAAATGTATATAAATGAAACAAAACAGCAAACAAGGGAATGACACAAGAAAAATGGAAATTAACGTCACTAAAACAATCAAAAATAATCACCTAGACAGAATAAACAAAAGTATTTGTTTTTAATAGTCCTTTCCACCTGTCTGCCTGACCATTTATAGATCAGTATTTATAGAAATGTATGCCTTCATGTGTTAATGTTTGCATTTGATCCAATTGCAGCATGACGGCCAGCCCTACTGCCACAAACCCTGCTACGCTGTTCTCTTCGGGCCCAAAGGTATCCGCTAGGGGGCGCTGTCCACCCACCCATTATCAGCTGCACTTTATTACAGAATGTCAAAATGTCCGAGCATTGAGCCACGCTGCACACGTTGCACATTACTCGATGTTACTCAGAGTCATTTCATCATAGCATTGTCTGCAACACTGCAGCAGCTTCTGGAGGAAATGTTTTGCAACCTCTCCTGCTCATGTTGTTCCTTCTCTCCCCCTCTCTCCTCCCCCCCTGACTCCCCCCTTGTCCCTTTGGTTTCTCCAGGCGTGAACACTGGTGGTGTTGGCAGCTACATCTATGAGAAGGAGCCCAGTGCAGTGACCCAGCCTTGAACCTTTTGTCCCCTCAGCTTCATCCCTCCTCTTCTCTACACAACACTGACCATCAACCACAGTATTATTCGTCCTCTTCCTCCCACCTGGCGCTCATACCTGAGACAAATTATCCCTTTTCTCCTTTATTCTGACCCGCTCCCAGCTGATTTAGTACCAGGAGGAATGATTTTAAATGGCCTAAACATGTGTTGTATAATACATTTGCTCTGGGAGAGCCACACCAAGCATTCCCACAGGTATTACAAGTAATTTAATGCCATGTTTACACATTTATAAACGTATGAGAACACATTCAATGTCACCACAGTCAAATACGAAGGTCCTATATTTCAATTTTGTAGCCTGACAACAGTGTGATTGAGGATATCCGGTTTGAGGTGACTTGTGTTTAACAAAAATGTGACAGAGATTGATTCTTGGGTGTGGAGAAGTGCCTTCTGGCTGGAGGTGGAGGTGTAGCGCGTTGACAGCCGGAGGAATTACGCCTTGGAGGCACAGGTGGTGCTCAGAATCAGGTTGCCAATAAATGTGTATTTTAAAAATGCCATATTTACCTTTTGCCCGCCTGTCAACATTCCTTATTTTAAAAGAAATTACAACAAATCCCAACATATTGCAAAAAAGGTGGGAAAGTGGACCTGTTAGGCGACTGTTACATGACTTCCAACACATCCACAACGCTGTATTGAGTCAACATGAATTTATTCTAATTTTAAGCATATGTTATTAACCTGTTTTAATGTCAAAATCTGGTTTATGTGCTAATAAACAACAAAACCGTCCATTTCCAAAATGAGGCAGAATGTGGATGGGGTTTTCTAAACGGAGGAATGTGGGTTGCCAGATAAGAAACAAGTATTTATTGCTTCAAATTAAGTCCTTCAAATTTAATTAGCCATTGTACTGCTGCCCTTTATGGGACTGATTGTGAAGGAGGTCAAACAGGGCAATGTAAGCTGTAAAAAATCTCTACAACTAAGATGTTTTATTGTTAATTATAAACAAATAACCCGGCTGTTATTTTCCGAGAAATGAAGCGCTATTTGAAGTATTTGTTGCCGTTAGCAGTAGCTTAGCTTGTAGACACACTGCAGACAAGTCATTCTGTGAGAATGTGCATCCTAGTATTATCGTAAGACTGTTACTGTGTTTGTTTAATACCTGTCGTACATCGTAGGGCTCACTGTTTGTAGAATGAGACGCTGCACTTCAGCCCTGCTGCATTTTGTCTTTTTAATTCCTTGAATAAATATGTAATAAACTCTTCTTCCGTGTTGTTACAGTTATTGACAGATTTTCTGTTCATGAATTGCAATAAACAAACACTACATGCAAGGCCGGATTAGTACCTCCAGGGACCCCTGGGCACTGAGAGCTCAAGGCCCCTCAACCCAACACGTAACAGCACGCCTACCCAACATGACCAATATTTAAAATTTTCTTTCCATCTGGCATGTCAATCGCACACCTATTTGTCAAAAGCAGGGACGCAGCCACATAGTTCAACCAAAGTAGGTCTAGCCTTTTGCCCTTTCAGTCAAAAATCACAAGACAAGGATACAATGGATAAGATCTCAAGACAGTGTATTGCTCAAGAAGACCTAGGTAATGTCACTCAAAACCTCAGAACAGCACCCCACTTAAAATGCCAAAATATGACTGGCTGGCAGTATAAGTACACAAGGAGTTCTATGTGTCACAAACATTGAGTTACAAAAGTAAAACATGTATTGAAAGTATGTGGCAGCTCAACTAAGTGATCAGTATATTATGATGAGAGAGAGAGAGAGAAAAACAATAACAATAACATTGTATGGTACGGAAGAGGATTAGGGCCACATTATTATTATTTTTGGGAGGATTTGAAAAAAATATGTTTTTTTTTTGTTCTGACTTTTTTCTCAGAATTCTGAGTTGGTGAGTGAGGTTGTGCCAAAAAAAATGTTTCTCTTGTCACTGATGGCCCATCATGTGATGTGGTTAATCCGGCCTTGACTACATGCGGTTTGAGCTTGTGGATTCCTTGTCTAATTATTATTTAATTTGTTGCTATTAGACGAGGTGGAAAGTAAAAACTCATACAAAGTATTACCAAAAAGAATAATTACGTTTTTTTTTAATGAATACTAAACCTAATTATTACTACAAATCACTTTGAATTGCATTTTTGTGATTGAGAGCAAGGGAAACTAATTTCCCTACGGCCACAAGAAGAAAAATAGCTAGTAGGTCTGCAGGATTAATCAAACATTTCAATGAAATCGCTATACGGACTAGTGCATTTTAAAAATGTAGGAAGTATTTGTTAAAGTACAAAAGCATTGTGGAGCTACAGAGAAAAAAGAAAACATCTTAGTTTTTGTAAAGATCCTCTTAAGCAATCACACTATGATCATTCTAATATACATTTCAATTCTAATGAGAAACAGTGATGTACAAATGATCAATCCCTGCTACAAAGTGCAGGCCTGCCAGCTAGCTTCAGAGAAACGTCATTACAACATCTGAGCCCTTCTCTGAATGAATCACTTGGCTCATTCATATCAGGGCGGTTATAACTAACGCATTAAGCTTTATGAGGCAGGAAAGCGTGAGATGTGATACAAGCTGCTCTACGTGGGAAAACGTTAAAGTTACATGATGTGTTCCTTAGTATTTTAGTCCGGTCTAAACTGCACACTAGCTGATGCTCGTTTTGGTCACGCTCTATTTCATAGGTCCCTTAATTCCTAATGATTTCCTCTGACATTTTAATGAAACAACTTTGATATTAGGTTTGAATTTAAAAGGAAAATAGACAATGGTCATGTTTATAGTACAACAACTAATTCCTCCATTGAACAACACCTTCAAGTTCATAAAGTATGCTGCCTAAAAGTGCAATAATCACTTTCATATTACCTGCACATTTATTTGGAAGTTGAGGCCCTTATTTCTAAATGTCCTTTCTTTCATATTTGATTTATTAAGTGATGCGTTTATGTGTTGTAATGGTCACCCATACAAGGGACGTAACGTTAACAACACCAAATAAAAGTAAATATTAATCAATATTGGGATAATATGATTCCCAACACTGGTTGAATTCCTCTCTATGCTGTGATTTACAACTTTAATATCACCTACATTTTTAAAAACATGTTACTATCATATCACATTTATTGACTGACAATAAACCTTAGATCTCTCACCAGTAAATAATAGGAAATCATCTCTTTTGTGTTTTCCCTCAAGCAAGTAACGACCAGTGACAACAGTGACAGGGCTCATAATCGGGATTAGCTCACTTTGTTAAATGTGACAGCGCTCAGAAACCTAAAGAAAACAGGCCAAGCTTAGTTAGCACTGAGGCAACACTAAGCTCATTGTGTTGCACTTCACACACATATTGAAACATAATGATTGACAGCAGGAACAGTTGCTTCACTGCTGCACAGTTTCAGCCTTGCAGCACTTTAAAGAAGTGTAAGATGGGTACAGTAGCTTCGCTTGTGCACATGCAGGCTGCACGGTTGCACGCTATGTCATCATTGTATTCATAAAAATCAAAGTATGAACGACCATTTGTCCCACATTTGGTCACTTTTAATAACCATGTGGAAACTTTGTGCTGCGCCGCACCCGGGGAAACACAGTACAGTTGCCTGGATACCAAACAGATGTCAGTGTATGTATGAATGGCGTCACACGGCCGCCTACATGTGAACTCTTTATTGTCTTCAAATAAGACACACACATATTCACGCACACACACCTTGGTCTGACTGTGGTCTTGTGATGGAGAGTGCAAAATGAAACCATCTGTTGCAAAACGAGACTCATGTGGCTTCCAGAGAAAACAATTGTCACCACCTGTAGGAAGTGTTGGCCTCAGGAAGGAATAGTCAACAGCTTCAGCTAGTCTTAAGTCTCTATACTGTGTGTGGAAATGTTGTCTCTTACATTGTATGTGAAGTTATTGATTTCTTTACACGAAAAAAAAAAAATGTGTTGTTTTCTTGGTAAAGGTCAAACTCTCTGCTCCATAGTTTCTCTCTTCACTGTACATTTTACATGTAATATTCCATCTGTCACATACTTATATGTAATACCTTTCTTTATACCTTGTTATTGTTAATTTGTAAATTCAACATGTATATTTTCTACTTTCTTGCCTTTTAATTGTTATTGTACAATGCCATGTCTTTATGCTGCTGCAACACAAACATTTCCCAAATTGGGATCAATAAAGTAATATCTTATCTTATTGACAGAATTTCAATATTTGTTTAATAAAGATTTCAGATGAGTTACACATACAATAGATGAAGACTATTAAGTAGAAGAGGTTGGATTTGTTCCTCCTTCATTGTCACATGGGCAAAGACATTTTTTTGTGGACTCTAATTGAGGTTGAGACCCTACAAATGCTTCCAAGGGAGAACAATGTTATGTAACATGTGATGTTAGTCCCTCTGACTTAAACACCCTGAACAAAGTAGTTCCAGAAACCATTTCCATCCAAACTGAAATATCTGAGTGCCGTTCAAATGTGTACCGACATCCACAGGATAAACTCTTATAACTTTTCTAATGCTTCGACTTTTGTCTACCGTGTCACCAGATCAAAACTCCTGTGAGGTCTATTTTGGTTTAGGCCTTAATAATTAACAAATTACATTCCCAACAGCCACAGCTCCAAGACCAATTAAAGAAACCTCCTGTGAACACGACTCAGTAAATGAAGTGATTCTGGACTGGAGGTGTCAGATTTGGAAATATCTGCTCTTTGTGTAATCCATCACTGCTTTTCCATTATAAGGGGATATCAATTCCTCCCTGTGTCTTTCTTTTCCTTTGGACCAGTCCCTCTTCATTGAGGGGAGCGAGACATTGTCTCACATCATAAAACAATATTTCCAGCATCTACAGTTATTCCCTAAATAGAAACTTGCATACCGGCGATGTGAACGGACTCAACGGATCCAGCAGATGTCCGAAAGCTTCATCGTAGTAACCTTAGCAGCGATATTGGAAGAGAATAAACGTCACTTGAATGGAGCCAGGACTCTCTGGGGATGTCTTGTCACTTGTCATTGTACACCAGTCACACATAAAGCAGTGACTTCAAATGTTCAAAAAGTTGTTTGGGTTTTGTTGCGAAGAAATACATTTGTTGGGTAATTTGACAGAGTTGAGGTGCTACCTTGAGCCTCTTAACATATTCATTACTTTATATGCAATACATTTATAAAGTTTTGATCGAACACACGTCTTTATATATTCTTAATTCAGACGTTATATGGAATGCAAGTTAATGGGAAAGCATGAGTTGGTAGTTACATGATCAACCCTTACATTTATATAGATCTACGGTCTTTGGCTGATGTGCGGCATGCATACAGAGAATCCACCAGAACGTGTTGATGTACGTTTTAAATGGGGAGAAGTGGTGGTGTCATTTTACAAAACTGAATGCTTTGATTGACATGATTGTATTCTCAAAAGTAATAAAAGCACTTAACTGCATTGGTATTGATACATATTTTAACATGTATTTGTCATACTTGCCAACCCTCCCGATTTTCGCGGGACACTCCCGATTTCATTGCCCTCTCCCGGTTTCCTTCCGGGGTCGTATTTCTCCCGCATTTCTCCCGATTTCTGACAAAATCAAATTTACACACGACTGTTTCCACTCAGACTTTATTACAGCTACACCATTGTTTGGTTTCCATGGTAGCGCGTCTCTTTAGTAGCGTGCGCAACTAGATGGCAGATATTCACAGAAAACAGAACAAGAATCGACAACTACTCTACTCTCTGCTCACTCCTTTCCTGTAAAATACAGGTCCAGCCCACACATATGCTCCATCAAGGACGGTGCTACAGGCCGCAAGGCAGTGCACTTACAACTACAATAAGCATGTTAATGTTAATCTAACAGCTCCGGCGATCCACTAGCACCCCCCTCCCCCCCCAAGTATGGTATTTGTTGATCAGATTTGAATGATACCATCTAAGCAACATGAGCAAACAACAAACTATCCAACTTCAGATTTTTGATTCAAATAAATCCGAGTCCTGATTGGTGCACAGACATACATGACATCACCACCCTGCCCACATTAAACCAGTGGAAGGGAGTTCAGACTTCTCTCAACAGAAACAAACCAAAGTGATGGAAATTTGCCAGCAGATTTTGTGTTCATGAAAGGATCCCAACTCTCATAGTAGGGAGCTGATTGAGAAAATAGGTTTTCCAATGTATTAGCTGTGCATCCTGT